TCCCACTATCTGAGAGATACCATGTTTAGTTTCTCGAGAATGGAAATTCAAATGCTGGACAGCAATCTACCAATTTCCTGAATGCAACCTGTATATATTCAAATATATTAATATCTGTATACAAACTGTTTGCAAGGTGTGGCCACTATAAGGTCATAAACTTGTGACAACCCATTGGACACTCCTTAGCCTCTTGATCAGATAATTGTCTCATGGACAAGAAAAGAGGGGCCACAACTTCAGTAGACAGCTCTCGTTTTACCCTCAAAAAGAAGGAATATCTGCAAAGACCTAAAAGCCATTTATTCACTTTGTTCCTTACTTGGACTTTGCTGATTTCACAAAACCAGGACATTTTTAAGTATTTTCACCCTTAAATCTTTTTTATTTCTCTGTTGCAATATTGTCTCTTTGTTTTCTTTGTAATATCTTTTTCTATGTAGATATTTTATTTTGAAAAGTGTTAAAATTGTCTCTAATGCACTAATGCAGAACTTAAGGAATCCCTGTCTCTTGAAGAGTGCTACTATATGATAAATCTCTGGATATACAGTCAAATATTGGGACATAGACACTATTCTAACATTTTTGGCTCTATACACCACCATAATGGATTTGAAATGAAACGAACAAGATGTGCTTTAACTGCAGACTGTCAGCTTTAATTTGAGGGTATTTACATCCAAATCAGGTGAACGGTGTAGGAATTACAACAGTTTGCATATGTGCCTCCCACTTGTTAAGGGACCAATAGTAATGGAACAATTGGCTTCTCAGCTGTTCCATGGCCAGGTGTGTGTTATTCCCTCATTATCCCAATTACAATGAGCAGATAAAAGGTCCAGAGTTCATTTCAAGTGTGCTATTTGCATTTGGAATCTGTTGCTGTCAACTCTCAAGATGAGATCCAAAGAGCTGTCACTATCAGTGAAGCAAGCCATCATTAGGCTGAAACAAACAAAACAAACCCATCAGAGAGATAGCAAAAAAACATTAGGCGTGGCCAAAACAACTGTTTTTGGAACATTCTTAAAAAGAAGGAACGCACCAGTCAGCTCAGCAACAGCAAAAGACCCGGAAGACCACGGAAAACAACTGTGGTGGATGACCGAAGAATTCTTTCCCTGTGAAGAAAACACCCTTCACCCAACAGTTGGCCAGATCAAGAACACTCTCCAGGAGGTAGGTGTATGTGTGTCAAAGTCAACAATCAAGAGAATACTTCACCAGAGTGAATACAGAGAGTTCACCACAAGATGTAAACCATTGGTGAGCCTCAAAAACAGGAAGGCCAGATTAGAGTTTGCCAAACGACATCTAAAAAAGCCTTCACAGTTCTGGAACAACATCCTATGGACAGATGAGACCAAGATCAACTTGTACCAGAGTGATGGGAAGAGAAGAGTATGGAAAAGGAAAGGACCTGCTCATGATCCTAAGCATACCACCTCATCAGTGAAGCATGGTGGTGGTAGTGTCATGGCGTGGGCATGTATGGCTGCCAATGGAACTGGTTCTCTTGTATTTATTGATGATGTGACTGCTGACAAAAGCAGCAGGATGAATTCTGAAGTGTTTTGGGCAATATTATCTGCTCATATTCAGCCAAATGCTTCAGAACTCATTGGACGCCGCTTCACAGTGCAGATGGACAATGACCCAAAGCATGTGGCGAGTGTGTGCTGCTTATTAATAGGTGTCCCATTGAGCGCAGGAGTTTTTTACATTATCTAGTAATGACCCAAAGCATACTGCAAAAGCAACCAAAGAGTTTTTTAAGGGAAAGAAGTGGAATGTTATGCAATGGCCAAGTCAATCACCTGACCTGAATCCGATTGAGCATGCATTTCACTTGTTGAAGACAAAACTGAAGGGAAAATGCCCCAAGAACAAGCAGGAACTGAAGACAGTTGCAGTAGAGGCCTGGCAGAGCATCACCAGGGATGAAACCCAGCTTCTGGTGATGTCTATGCGTTCCAGACTTCAGGCTGTAATTGACTGCAAAGGATTTGCAACCAAGTATTAAAAAGTGAAAGTTTGATTTATGATTATTATTCAATCCCATTACTTTTGGTCCCTTAACAAGTGGGAGGCACATATGCAAACTGTTGTAATTCCTACACCGTTCCCCTGATTTGGATGTAAATACCCTCAAATTAAAGCTGACAGTCTGCAGTTAAAGCACATCTTGTTCGTTTCATTTCAAATCCATTGTGGTGGTATATAGAGCCAAAAATGTTAGAATTGTGTCTATGTCCCAATATTTATGGACCTGACTGTACCTGTCTGTGGTGACAGTGTGTGTTACAGACATTTATTTAAAGTCATGTGTTATTGCTAAAATTGTGAACATTTGGTGGCTCTGTAAATATTTAATTCCTTAGTTACTAAACCCAGTTACAATCACTTTTAATCTGTTGGCACTTGCTGGGAGATCTTCATGCGGGGTAAGGTTGAGAGTGTTATTGTCATGTATCAGTGACAGCACGGTGAGAGGCTGATCAGCCACTTAACACAAGTTGGTAAAAAAAGGGAGTGTCCTGATGCCACATTTGTTTAGTAAAACATGAATGTGGGACATTCAGCTTGTATTCTGAATTAAAGTGATTATAAACCTTCACCTTGTAAAACAACTCATTCAGTATAAAATAGAAATTAAAGGCAAAACATTTGTGTACGGATATAAAAAACAATTATGAATACCTTTTCCCCCTTTTTTTATAAGTGATCACATTCCCTGTGGCCGGGGGGGGGGGGGGGGGGGGCATATCAGGACAAGATTGATCATTGGAGCATAGCTAGAGAACTGACCACAATGTGTTCTCCTGTTTAGTGAGGTCATTTTTTAATAGTAAAGCAAAGGAACTGACAGGAACACCAGGGATTTCACACAAAGGAAGCAATACAAAGAGAACTGATACTTTTCCATACAAGTACATGGTACAACAGGCACATATCAGGAATATGAAATGTTGGGTTTACATATTCTTTAAGGATTTTTTCCACATAGTTCTGTTTTTTAAGATTGCATTATTTGTTAATTAGAGTGTTTATGACAGGTAAACATATTAACTTGCCACGTACGGTTCTTGCCAATGTTGCTAATAGCAAATTTAGCTATCACTATATACACAGCAAGCTTTGCAATAGTCACAGTAAAACCCATATGTGCTGAATGATTGATATTCAAAAAGTGTGATAAAAGTCCATTAAAACTTCCATGCAAAAGCTAGAATAACATAAATACAAACCACAAAAAGAAAAACACACTGAAAGAAAAATACATAATAACAATAAAAATTTTGTATACAAAAAGTCTAACAGAAACTCTATTCGCTACCAAACAGTTTGGATACACTCCATTCTGTTCTTGTAGCCAGCCAGCATGATGACACTAAAATGAAGCCGCAGCAGACCCAAAGGTTCCTCGTTTAAATAATTTTATTCAGAGAAAGAAAAGCTTTATTTCTTTGACATACAAATGCCAAGTGAAGGCCGATGTCTATCAAAATTTCATGACTAGTGAATTGAAGACGAAAAGAAAAGCTTCAGCTGGAATATTGTTGAAGTGTTGATTCAGTTTGTGATTCTACGTTAATGGAACCTTTAAAAGAAAGGCCACATGATGTAAAATTCAAATGGAGCATAAATACGAGCACTGTTGGTGGAGAATGCATAATTTATCTGTAAACAGTTGATAACCTGATAAACTCATACATGAACGAGAAAGGTTAAGCAATAGGTGAATTCATAAAGGTCAATAACGCTCCAAAAAGTAAGAAATGCCATATTCACTCCTAGCTGTAAATGTGCAGACTATTGATTTTATTTTGAACTTTGAAACAGGTTGCTTACAGCATTTTATTGTTGTTTATTGTTACATTTATTATTTTACTTAAAACAGTAAATAAAAAACTATATAAAATAATTGGGGATCCAAAGGAAACAATATATTGTGAGCATATCTGTATCCTCTCCATAAAGGATCAAGTAATTGAAACAGTACAAAAATTAGGATATTTACAATGTTCAAAAAAGTATCACTTACACATAAAAATATATAAGTTTATTTCTGCATATAAAAAAAGAAAATTTGTTGAACAGTTATATATTGTTGAGGTTAAATCCAGAGGAAGACGACCCTTTCACAATCTCATGATTTCATGCCATAAAGCTTAAATCACCTTGCACTCTTAAATGGCCCTAATGATAGCTGGCAGAAGAACTACCTTAAGGACTACCCCTATCATTAAACCCACCAGCAGAATCTCCTCCATTTCCCTATACCCATTCTTGTCTTCTCAATCACTGACAATGCCTAAAAGGTGGTTTATGCCTCTCATAGCTGCCCTTAGTGCACTCTGGAATGATAGCTCCAGTGGTTGATAGTTCAGTTCTAAATACTGATCACTGCTCCACTTCAGGTGGTATTGTTACTGTTTATGATGATCTGGATGGCAAGTATTCTTCTATGCCATTCTATTTTGTTTTTACCACTGGTATTAGTTTTTTCTGCTTACTTTGTACCAGGGGTAGACTGACCATTTGGAAACTTGGGCACTGCCCGAGGGCCCGGGGTCAGTACGGGGCCCCATAAGATGCCCCTGGTACATTTTTCATAGGCATTTTTTTAGTTTGGGCAAGGACACAGGGGCCCCATGATCCCCTATTGCCTGGGGGCCCCATGAGTTGTCAGTCTGCCCCTGCTTCGTACTAACTTTATGGGTAGACATTATACCGTATTTTTCACTCCATAAGATGCACTTTCCCCCCCCCAAAAAAACGGGGGAAAATGTCATATGGAGCAAATATATAGCGGCCAGTCCGGTATTTCCACCACCTACACCGTGTTGGAATACCGGGCCGGGAGCTCAGCTCTTCTCTGCAGCAGGACCTTACCTGTTCCTCGGTCCAGCGCTGTTCAGTCTTCCCGCGCCGGCATCTTTATGTGGGAACCCGACTGTGACAGCCAGGTACCCACTGCGCATGAGTGAGAAGCACTGCACTTTGTGAATGGCTCGGCATCTTCTGGGACCTGTCATGTGTCCCAGAAGATGCCGGGCCATTCACAAAGTGCAGCGCTTCTTGCGCATGCGCATTGGGCACCCGGGTGTCACAGCTGGGTGCCCACACTAAAGGGAGGACAACTCCGCAGAAGTGGGAGCAGGTACCTGTGAAATTCAGGTACCAGCTCCCCCTCCCTCCCCAAAGGAACACAGTCTCTTGGTCATCTACTGTACTGTCTGCTGTCTCTTGGTCATCCCTGTACTGTCTGCAGTCTCTGGTCATCCCCTGTACTGCCTGTAGTCTCTGGTCATCCCCTGTACTGCCTGCAGTCTCTGGTCATCCCTGTACTGTCTGCAGTCTTTGGTCATCCCTGTACTGTCTGCAGTCTTAGGTCATCCCTGTACTGTCTGCAGTCTCTTGGTCATCCCCTGTACTGTCCGCAGTCTCTTGGTCATCCCTGTACTGTCAGCAGTCTCTAGTCATCCCTGTACTGTCTGCAGTCTCTGGTCATCCCTGTACTGTCTGCAGTTTCTGGTCATCCCTGTACTGTCTTTAGTCTCTGGTCATCCCTGTACTGTCTGCAGTCTCTTGGTCATCCCCTATACTGTCTGCAGTCTCTGGTCATCTCTTGTACTGTGTCCGCAGTCTCTGGTCATCTCCTGTACTATGTCTGCAGTCTCCGGTCATCTCCTGTACTGTGTCCGCAGTCTCTGGTCATCTCCTGTACTGTGTCCACAGTCCTTGGTCATCTCCTGTACTGTGTCCGCAGTCTCTGGTCATCTCCTGTACTGTGTCCGCAGTCTCTGGTCATCTCCTGTACTGTGTCCGCAGTCTCTGGTCATCTGCTGTACTGTGTCCGCAGTCTCTGGTCATCTCCTGTACTGTGTCTGCAGTCTCTGGTCATCTCCTGTACTGTGTCCGCAGTCTCTGGTCATCTCCTGTACTGTGTCCGCAGTCTCTGGTCATCTCCTGTACTGTGTCCGCAGTCTCTGGTCATCTCCTGTACTGTGTCCGCAGTCTCTGGTCATCTCCTGTACTATGTCCGCAGTCTCTGGTCATCTCCTGCACGGTGTCCGCAGTCTCTGGTCATTCCCTGTACTTTGTCTGCAGTCCATTGGTTCAGAATATTTTTTTTCTTGTTTTTCTCCTCTAAAACCTAGGTGCGTCTTATGGTCAGGTGCGTCTTATGGAGCGAAAAATATGATACTAAATTTGCCTTTGCTATTTAGTTTGGTGCCTGTTTCTTTGAAATTGCAGTTTTGCTGGGTATTTAGAGTTACTGCTCATGATTTCTCATGATATTTTGTGTGTTGTACATTCAACCTAGTGTGTCAGAGAGGTTGAGGTCTTTGAGAAGGTCCAGGCCAAGAACAGAGGACCCATTTTAACCAGTTGCTCTTTCTTAGGTAGCAGTACAAAAGTTTATATTAATAGATTATAGTCATTTACAGTCAACTTGTGCATGAATAATGACTGTTTTGTACTGGTCCATATGATAAGAATGACCTCTATGTACCTATGCCTTGTTACCATGTGGCAAAGGTATCTAGACAAGTCTCATCAATAAAAATTTTTTCTCCTTCCCCCCAGGCAGAGGTTTGCATATGATGGAACAAACATAGTCCCCATCATAGTCCCCATCACCTGGAGGTCATAGGAGCTGTCAAAGCAAATGTATAATTATTCAAAATCAACTCTAGTAAATGGAGAACAAATGAGTACCACTATTTTTGTCTAGAAATTGTTTAACCACAGAAATCCCCCCATCATTGGGAATATTAAAGGAAAATGGCTCCACATTTATAGCTGGTAGTAGAACCTTTTTAGAATGTCATATCCCTTCAGCTGATTTAAGAGAGGTAAAGTATCCTGTGTATAGCAAAATAATCTTTAAACATGTGGGACTTGTGTAGCTGTCCATTAACCCATGTGCTTTCTCTGTATAAGAGCCAATGTTTGAAATTATAGGCCACCAGGAGAGGTGGATCTTAGAAAGTGTATATAATGTAGGTTTTGTGGAAAAGCCCCTTTTTATGAAAGTTCCTGTGCTTTTTGAAAAAATAGCTCTCCTACTGTTTTTCCCATTATTACCAAAAATTCATCATAAAATGCTTTAACTTGATGTCTAGATAACAATCTACCATTTTTTATTGCAAAAATTTTCGAACACGCTTCTTCATATTGATCTAGCTTCACTACAATATAACCCACCCTCTGAAGGTTTAATAATGAGATTCTGATTTTACAACTTCTGGATTGCTATTAACTGCAATTCCAGTGTATCCTTACTGTTTTTCTAACTTCCAACTCAAGATCACTTCTTGAACAAATCATGGAACATTATAATTTGTAATGATAGAAAAGTTTTAATTTTGGCATAATATTAAAGTAAACCTAAATCATTTTTTGATTGACAATCACCCACCACATCTGTGTTGGAAGTATGTTTTTTTTAATTATTGAATCTCATTTTACGTGCCTAAAGGTTTACTGGGTGAAAATATTTCCTTTTTGGTTGATACATAATTGACCACTATGTACCCCACCACTTTTTCCAGTCTGTGTAAAGGGATCAAATTAGTTTTCACACAAACTCAGTTGTTTGGGCTCCTGTTGCTGTGAAATAGAGAAGAAGTAGACTGTGAAGAGGTAGCAGACATATCATCCTTGATTAGGTTCTTTGTTGAACTCCATGGTATTGGAGAAGAAAAGTTTATCCAATTATTAGGCCTTGTTTGATTGAAAGGCACTTCATTTTTTTTTCACAACACCTTGATTTATACCGTCAACCCTGTTTCTTTATTTGGATAACAACTTATATTCCTAAAAACGCATTCTTTATTAAAAAAAAGAAAGTTTGAGGTTTGAAAAAAAAAACACATATATTCACCTTCAGGCTACAACATTGGTGAGATGCTGCAGTTGTCCCAAGTTTGCTTCGAACCATATAGTGATCACATGACCACTGACTGTTCAGTTCTCGGTCTGCTCAGAGTGGATGCTGAAGCTGTCCCAAGTTTGCTTCAAACTAATAAGTGATCACAGGACCACTGATTGCTCAGTTCTCGGTCTGCTCAGAGTGGAGGATAGTGACTGGCAGTCACTGATTTCTGCTCTGCTCCTTTAGCACTCACTGGAGCACTGGGCTGGAGAGGGAGCGGGCGCAGATGGCTATGGCTTTCAGCCTCTCACTAAGGTGCTAAGGTGGAACCAACTGTCAAGAAGACAAATGGGTGGAGCGTGACAATATTGTCAGGATCCTTCCAGAGCTTGGAGCAGCTCTGCCTAGTCAGCTGTTAGCAAGCAATAGCTCACTGTCAGTCGACTCCTGTGAACCATAAGGGAAGTATGACCAAAAAAGCTTTGGCCATACTTCTCTTTTAATTCATCACATTTTTCAAAGATTATTTTTAACAAATTCTCCCTATAATACTCAATAATCTTTGACATCATGTTGTGAGAGCATATGTCAAATTGCCTTTTTTGTAACTTATTATATACAGTATATATTGATATGAAGACTATCGGAATCATTCTTATCAAAAAGAAATATCAATAAATATTACAGTACATGCCTCAAGTGCTCATCCTATTTTTTTTAAAAGGTCTATTCCTTATAGCCAATAACTGGGGCTGATGCAAAACGGCTCAAATAAAGCAGATTTTGAATTAGAAATGGCTAAATTATGTGCAATATTAGGACAGAAATGCTATAGTAAGAAGAAAAGAACTTATCCAAAGATAATTCTAGGATGAACTGATCTACAAATAAGTGCAAGCAAAAACAGGAAACTCAATTGTTCGAAAAAAATTACTAAATATAATCATCAACATCCAAGATTAAACAAATTATGTCACAATATTGGCATCTTTTAACAATAGACCCTATTTTGGGACACTTTTGAATAGATCTACTGATATAACTTCTAAGAGGACTAGCTCCCTACAGGACTCATTAGTGCTGAATAATTATGAAAACTAAAAAAGATGAGACTGGTGCCCAATTAGACACTTTTAAATTTGGCACATGTAATCAAAATAGTTACATCCATACATTCAAAAACATTAGACTTCCAAATGAGGACCTATATATGCTAAAACATTTTGTTAGAGGATAAGTGCACCTTTAAAAAAAAAAATAAATGCACATTTTCTTTTGCATGTAATAAGGTGAATTTATTTTTTTTCTAAGAGCCTGGAAAGTATTGCGCTAGTGATGGGCAGATCACTGGTGCCATGCAGGACTCCTGCAGACTGTCAGTGTAAGCTGTTTTCCCGTATGAGCAGGCAGTTTTAACCTGATCAGAAGAATTATTGAACTATCAGAGTGCTCAAAAGCGCCATGGTAGTTAATTGAGAACTACAAGCCAGCATCCACAAAGGATGTCTGTACTTGTAGTTGATTCATTCACAGAACTCTCTTCTGCTCTTTTCAAAAAGCGACAGCTGGTATGGGGAACTTCTCCCCATACTGCTGTCCCACAGAGGGCTTGGATCGCCGAGCCGCTGATAGAGTAGGAACATGTTACATGTTACACCCTAAAAATGGGTGGAACGTGTAATGTGCACCCAAATGTGAACTTATTGTTTACCTGCTTCCATACAGGGCACTTTTACCCCCTTCCTGCCCAGGCCAATTTTCAGGTTTCAGCGATCTCACACTTTGAATGACAATTACGCAGTCATACAACATTGTACCCAAACTAAAATGTTATCATTTTCTTAACACAACTAGAGCTTTCTTTTGGTGGTATTTAATCACCGCTGGGGTTTTTTATTTTTTGCTAAATTAACAAAAAAAGACAGACAATTTTGAAAAAAAAACACGTTTTTCTTTGTTTCTGTTATAAAAGTTTGCAAATAAATAATTGTTCTTCATAAATTTAGGCCAAGATGTATTCTGCTACATGTCTTTGGTGAAAATAACCCAAATTAGGATGTATTATTTAGTTTGTAGGAAAGTTATAGAATTCACAAACTATGGGATATATCTGAATATTGATCAATCCTGAAGTACTGACAGCCAATCTAATTTCTTGAGGTCCAAGAATGTCAGAACAGTAAAGATATGCCCCAAATGACCCCTTTTTGCAAAGTAGACAGTCCGATGTACTTCATAAGAGGCATGGCGAGTTTTTTGAAGTATTTTTTTTGTCATCATTTTTCAGAAAATGAAAAAATTTAAATAATAATTTTTACTATCTTTTTTTTTACATACTGTCACCAGTGCAGTACAGCGTCATCATATAACTGGCATGGCGGTGATCAGGGACACTGACTGGTGACAGTATGAAAAAAAAATTTATAATTTTTTTGTATTATTTTTAATTTTTCATTAAATATTTTTCTTTTTTTTAAGATTTTTTTTTCATATTTCACTATGACCAAAGTAGTACATTGTTACCATAGTAATTTGCTTATAGCAAAGAATTACTTTGCTATAAGCAAGCATTTACCTGAATGACATAGATTCATTCAGAGTTTTTTTTTTTTTTTTTTTGTGCTTAGCTGTGATTTGGCCACGGCTAATCACATGACACAGC